ATAACACATCCCTCAAGCCACCAGCGACTCCTTTTCCACAACTTGGGGCGCCCCCCCCCGATCAGCACCCCTTGCAGGGTCTCTTTTCGGGGCTGCCCTCCCTCCGCCATAAATCTGCTCGCCTTTCCTTCCTCCGCGCCCTGCCCTCGGCCAGATGACCTCACCAGCCTCGACCCCTGCCCCCGTTTCTTCTCTCCCCCAACCCTCGAGGCGCGCCGCGGGAGCAGCCCTTACCGGGGATGAGCTGCAAGTGGTTGCCCATGTTGTTCTCCTGTTCCCCGCTGCCTTCATCCGCGGCCATCGCTGTTTACCCGCAAAGGAGCCTGGGAAGGCGGCGGCGGCGCCGGCAAGGGGAGGAGAAAGAAGGAGGCGGCCCCGTCGGGAGGAGGCTCGGCTCGGCTGCGGCTCCCCCTCCCCCTCCCCCCGTGCCCGGCAGCGCCTCCTAGCGGCCCGAGGGAAGCGCTGCCGCTCCCCTCAAAACACGGCTCCTAGGCAGCTACTACTACAGTATTTGTTCAGCCTGTTAGCCCGCCTTTGGAGCCCTGCGCAGAACCACAACAGGCTTTCCTTTTCGGCTTTCGTAGCCCTTTGTAACCCTTTCACGGATTTCTGTCTTGTTGTGGCGAAGGGGCTTGAGTAATTCAGAGAAGCTCTGGGCTATGCCCTGCAAAGGCACCCAAGACGGGCAGGTCATAGTGGGGAGTTCTGACTAAACGCAATCCACCTGGAGCTGGCAGTGGCAATGGCACTCCAGTAGCTAAGGCAACCAATCCAAAACCTAAGTAAAGCAGGTGGAGCCAACAACTCTTTTAAGATAAGCAATCTTGGTTTGTTTTTCAATTTATAGGAGCTGTTTTAAATCTTGCATAATGGATTGGGGGGGCTGCCTGTTTCTGAAAGGGGATGGATAAAGCAGTTGATGAGTGAAAAAATTACAGCTTGAAAACCCTTTGCTCCCCAAATGTAGCACAGAAATTGACCTGACAGTTTGCTACAAGTTCACCGAAGTTGGTGCTGATCCAAAGCCCCATTTAAAAGTTATGTTCTTTTTTGTCTGGGCTGCCCCCATTTTTAGAATCTGCCACACATCTTAAGATACACTCTTGTGCTACTATGATACTTACAGCTTGTAAAACATACTCATACATATACATCTGTGTGGCTATGTATCACTGTTTTTATGTTTTGGCCAATAGTCTAGCTGTATCTATCAGAATTGTATAAATATGTTTATATGTTCACATTAGCAAAACATGGTTGGGAAACAGTACAGTACCCACAGTACCCACTTTAACGAAAGAAAAAAAGCTATTTCAATCACACTCTTGGAATTTTGAGACTGATAAAAGAAGCTTTAGATATATGTCTGGGAAGTATCATGAGGAAGGACAAAGACTGGCTTCCTTTAATTGATCTCTTTGGGACAGCAGTAAGTTGATTAAGTCATTAGTCCAACTGGAACGTTTTGTGAGGTACAGTAATGACATTAAGTGTATATTATCATATGCAATTGCAGTTAGTATGCCATTTGTATCTTGAAGATGGCAGGACGTGATTTGAACTTTTATTGTTTTTTAAAGGTTTTTACTTGGAAGCTAAATCCATTAAGTTTTTTTGAGTCAATTTAAATCTGTTTGACTGTTTTTTTCTTAAGTGGTTAGTTGCTTCCTAGCTCTGTATGGAACTGAAGTGATTATAAGAAAAGCAGCTGTTCGGGAACCTGGAATCATCAATCAAGTTACATGAAAAAGTTAGTCCCATCATTTTCCACACCACTTTGCTCATGTGGAGTGAGAAGCAATGCATCTGAAGAGGGTTCCTGCTCATATGTAGGCTTTACATGCAAGCTAGAAAACAGATTCTCCATGGATGTTACTTGTGTAAAATACCCTCAGTAGCCAGTGTGGTATAGAGTGACAGATTAGGACTCAGGAGAATGGGATTCAGTTCCCCAGCTTGGCCATGGAAACTCATTGGGAGTGGACCTGGTAAAACCACTCCTTAAGTACTCCACCTAACTTGAAAGCTCTATTCGGAATACTATAAGTCGGTTCCAGGTTGATGGCCCATGACATACGTAGACCACCTACACGCAAAGAGGAGTGACAAGGGAGAGAGCAGAGCTAGCCTCTCCCTGTAACCCTTTTCATGATTCTAGATTTCAGAGCAAGCAAGCAGGGCTTTTCTAGTGCCTTGGTACTAGATGGGTGGGGTATAGAATGAATGAATGAATGAATAAATAAATAAATAAAACAGAGGCTGTGCTGTCTACATGCAAAAATGCTTTGTCCTGAGGACAGTGAGTTTGTCTGTCAGTGGGAACGTGCCATTCATCTAACTGCTGTAACCCTTAGCCCACTTTTGCTCTAGGTTTCTCAAAGTGCTTTGCAAACAGCAAAAATAATAGATGCTCAACCAGAACTCATCTCTCCTTCAAATTAGGGTTGTGTGGCACATACAGGAAGCAACTACATGGGGGAGGGGGAACAGAACTCCCCTTCTCTCAGTCTGCCCACAGAAATGATGCAGGATGCTCTCCCTCCCAATATCATGTGTGTGTTCAAACATGAAACAAATGGCAACTGTAAACAGACCTAATGATAACAGATGATTCTATGATTGTATTGTATAATCAGACATCAGGTATCCATGATGCTTTCCTATCTGACGTGGAACTGCATAACAAAGAACTGCTATATTTATCAGTGTTTTTCCTCCAGACTTGATTAGGTGAGAAACCTGTTTATACTTTAACTAATTACAAAAAGCTCAACAATGCAATTCTATAGAGATACCTGTTTAACTTACTGCAGGGTGTTTACACAAATCACATTATTCCAAACTGTGGAATACTTT